GGTGTATGTTCTGAGACCCTCACTGTTTGCCTGAAACTGTGGATAGTACTGAGCCTTGTATATACTTTTTTCCTATACATACGTACCTGTGGTAAAGTTTAATTTACAAATTAGACACAGTAAGAGCTTAACAGCAATAACTATAACTTCTAAAATAGAACAATTATAATAATATACTGTAGTAAGTTTTGTGAATATGGTCTCTCAAAATGTCTTGCTGTACTGTGCTCACTGTCTTTCATGTGATAATGTGGATGATACGATCCTATACCTACATGATGAAGTGAGGTGAATGACACAGGCTCTGGCATAGCCTCAGGCAGCTTACTAGAAGGGTTACTTGAACTGAAGCACGGTGACACCTCAACAGTTGATCTGATAACAGACAGGGCTATGGGCAGGTAGCATGTACAGCATGGATACACTAGACAAAAGGGTGGTTCATGTCCTGAGGGGGATGGTGCACAATTTAAAACTTATGAATTGTTTATTTCTGGAATTTTCCATTTAATATTTCCCTAACACAGTTGACTGCAGGTAACTGAAACCATGGAAAACAAAACTAGCAAAATGGACTACTCTAAAATTGTTCTCCTTATTTCTCATGGTGGGTGGAGGAAGAGTGCCAGATTGCATATGTGTTCATATTTTTATTGGAGAATCTATCTTTGAGATAAAAGTTTTCTTCTAGCGTATTCAAGACCAGATGGGTCAGTGTTTTCAAAGCCCTATATTGGTATTGATTCAGCTTGTATGGAAGGGATTAGGGGGAAATAATTCAAACTGAGAAGTTTCTTATAATTTTTCACCTTAGGTTGTTTTTGTTTCCTGCTGTTTTTCAGGCCTCTATCCTTTCTCTGGTGACAAAAATAAACAATGTGATTGACAATTTGATTGTGGCTCCAGGGACATTTGAAGTGGTGAGTTTTTGATGACTTAGTCCTGGAAAAGGGCAGCCTCGGTCGTGTGGGAATTACATTGGCTCCTGTTTTTTTTTTAATTCTTCCATCAAAGCCATGCCTACATGGGAAATTACAATGGAATTCCTTTGTGGTACTGATCTTGGGACAAGACTTGTATTATTGTTTTCAGCTAGCCAAGATGTATCAGGCTTTTCTTAAAGGTTTTGGGATATGATTTGACCTGTGCAGCTTCCAAATCTGGGTAATAAGCAGCTGTGTTGTAACTGAGCTCTGAGAGGAACTAGGCAGTCTTTTCACTTTTTTTCCTTTCTCTCCGAAATCCTTTTTTCCAACAGCAAATTGAAGAAGTGCGACAGGTTGGATCATATAAAAAGGGAACAATGACTACAGGACATAATGTGGCTGACCTGGTGGTAATCCTAAAGATTTTGCCAACGTGTGAGTATACCTCTTTCTGGCTATGGAAACAGAACATAGCGGTTGGATTTGAGGCATAGGGATCTTTAAAGCCCAAATTTCTCTCCTTTTCTCTCATTTTAGTGGAAGCTGTTGCTGCCCTAGGGAACAAAGTCGTGGAAAGCCTAAGAGCACAGGATCCTTCTGAAGGTTTGAGTTTGTTGCTGAACACGTATTTAGTGGTCATAAGAGCCAGATCTGTCATTCTAAGTGTACAGTTCACAAAGTCTGGCCAGAAGGAAATGTGAATGGAGAGCTTTATGTTGGGGAAGTGTGGGCGAGATCTCCATTTGTTCAAAATCCTGTTGATCTCCTTTACTTTTTTTTTATTTTTGTTGACATGATCTTTACTTTCAAAACTCTGTATTCTAAATCCTCATTCTGGACTCTTGCTGCTTTTGAAAACCTATCAATTCACTAATGGAAATCTGAGAGTTAGAACTTTTGAATTTTTTCTTTTCTTTTAGTTTTGACCATGCTGACCAATGAAACTGGCTTTGAGATCAGTTCTTCTGATGCTACAGTGAAGATTCTCATTACAACAGTGCCACCCAATCTCCGAAAACTGGATCCAGAACTCCATTGTTAGTCCTTTTTTTTCCATTGCTGGGAAATTTGGAGGAAATTCAAAAGATGGTATACAGTTGCTGTTGAGTTTACTGAGCTTGTTGCTATTCCACATAAAACCTTCTGCAACCTAAGTTTACTCCCAAACTTTGTTTTCTCCATCTGTAATTTGGAGACAGGCTTACCAACTTGCTAGTGAAACTGTCAAATATAGGATGACCAGGAAAGCAGTTTGAGGGCTAAGAACTACGGAAATACTTACGGAGTTGGGTTAGGCTTTTGGAAAACGTTGTGGATCTTGTATGCTTCTAGATTTGGTCTAGGGGAAAAGTAGTGAGTTTTGGACAAGTGATTTGCTGATCTGAGAAACAGAGTGGTTTATTAATTTTCATTACTATTTTTGAATCCTCACCCAGGACATGTATTTTTATTGATTTTTTAGTGAGAGAGGAAAAGGGGGAGTGAAACATTGATTGGTTGCCTTCTGTATGTACCCTGACAGGGAATTAAACCTGCAATGTAGGTATGTGCCTGGTCTGGGAGTCGAACCCTTTTAAAAAAATTATTTACTGATTTTAGAGAGAGAGAAACATCTATTTGTTGTCCTACTTATTTATGCATTCATTGGTTGATTTTTGTGTGTGCCCTGACCGGGGAATCAAACCCTCAACCTTGATGTATTGGGGTGACACTCTAACCAACTGAGCTATGTGGCCAGGGCAAACCCACAACCTTTTGGTGCATGGGATGATGCTCCAATTAACCGAGCCACCCGGCCAGGGCAAACATGGTGTGGTTTAGGAATTACATTATCCTGTCGTCCTTCCAAGTTACTGAACTGTGGTGGTGGGGTTGAATTGCTTGCTTAATGATAGGAATGTTTCATCTTGGCCTGTCATGCTTCTAGTGGACATCAAGGTGTTGCAGAGTGCCTTAGCAGCCATCCGACATGCTCGCTGGTTTGAAGAAAATGCTTCTCAGTCCACGTGAGTTCCCTCCTCACTGTCTGAGCTTAGATAACCTAGCCCTTCTAACTGCAGTACAGGACACTGCTGTACTTCCTCCGACAGAACTTTTGTGGCTCCAACCTTCTGTCTGGATTCTGAATTTTATGTTAAGCAAAATTCAAATTGAAATTGAAAGGAGAGAATGTGTAGTTCTGGAAATGGCTTTAGCTGTGTACCTCGGGTGTGGGAGTGCATGGTCATTACTTTTAATCCCTGGGTCCCTCCTACCTTTAGAGTTAAAGTTCTCATCAGACTTCTGAAGGACCTGAGGATTCGTTTTCCTGGCTTTGAGCCCCTCACACCCTGGATCCTTGACCTACTCGTAAGTAAAGAGCAGTTGTTCCTGATCTTCCCTATCTAATACTCTGAATCTGAAGTTTGGTGAAGTTTGGTGAAGCTTAAGAAAATTTCATTGCTGGACAAGTAATCCAATAAAGATTTTTTTAGAGTAATTAAAAAAGTCGTTATTAATGCCCCTTTGTCTTTTTTATTATTGCTGTCATTTCACTAATGTAATAACGGAAAGGACAGAGTAGATGAGCAGTCACTGAACATGAACATGTTGACTTGGCCTTCATAACCAATTTTCCTCATGATAGCTTAAAGTTGTAGTTTGTTTTATGGCACACCTACCAGATTTATTCTTTTCCAGGGGCACTATGCCGTGATGAACAACCCCACCAGACAGCCTTTGGCCCTCAATGTGGCATACAGGTACAGCATGCTTCTCTGGGTTTGGGACTGGAAGTAAACTGTCTTTTTTGCTCTTTTAACACCTCCCTGTGTTTCAGGCGTTGCTTGCAGATTCTGGCTGCAGGACTGTTCTTGCCAGGGTCAATGGGTATCACAGACCCCTGTGAGAGTGGCAACTTCAGAGTACACACGGTCATGACTTTGGAACAGCAGGTATTGGGACAGCTCTGAATGGTCTGTTGGGCGCCATTCTTGAATACTCCTGGGTCTGAAGGCAAAGGGAATGTGGTCTTTAGGGGTCAAGATATGGGGGTTCTCATATACTTTAGGCTTGAAATTGAAACGTTATCATCATCTCTGTTTTCATGAGAATGTTAGTCAAACAAGGTGTTTTGATTATATTTGCTTATTTATCCTCACTTTGCTCTCCTTCAGGACATGGTCTGCTACACAGCTCAGACTCTGGTCCGAATCCTCTCACATGGTGGCTTTAGGAAGATCCTTGGTCAGGAGGGTGATGCCAGCTGTGAGTGATCCTGGGTTGGAGGTTCTTTAGGGTATTCTGTGGTCTACAGAGAAACTCTACACTACTCAGATGTCTTAATACTTCCACTGTGTAGATCATGACTCGTATGCTGGGCTACTTGTCTGAAATCACACCTTTTTTCTCTTCTAGATCTTGCTTCTGAAATATCTACCTGGGATGGAGTGATAGTGACACCTTCAGAAAAGGCTTATGAGAAGCCACCAGAGAAGAAGGAAGGGGAGGAAGAGGAGGAGAATACAGAAGAACCACCTCAAGGAGAGGAGGAGGAAAGCATGGAGACTCAGGAGTGACTCCCTTCTCTCCACCCTTTCTTACCCAAGGGGAAGATTGGAGCCTGAGCTAACTGCTACTGGGCTCTATATGGTGGCATTTCTGAGGGCTGGGGGAGACAGGAAAGAAAATAAAAATAAACCACGGAAGGAAATGTCATCCCGCTGAATTCTTATGTTGACTTAGTAGCCAGAAGTCTCCCATCTCTAGTGAAGCAGGTTACCAACTTTTCTTCATGATATTGTAGAATCCCCAGCTCCTTGAAACCTCTCAACCAGTACTTTGTTGTTGAAATGTCAACTGTTCATGCCTGGAAATTTTTTTTTTTCTAAGAAAAATAAAGTACTTCCTACTAGGGCTCTTTCTTGGTCTTGTATTTCTGTGGTATGTGGCCACCCTTTTTGCTTTCTGTACTCTTCATTGAAAATGCTACTCGAGTATTTTCATTGTGAACGCTAGATCACAATTTGAAGCTGTATTTGAATTTATTAAAGTACAAAGATCCTTGGAACCTTTCCATATACCAAAGTAAACGAGTATTGTTTAAGCATTTATTGAATTAAATGGTTCCAGTAAGACTACTGTGTTCAAGCCAGTGAAATGTACAACAGGGTGGATGGGTGACTGCCTGCCCTCTCCAAATCCTAAGCATAAACAGGAAAATGGGAAGTCACAGGTAGAGGGTGTGCTGCCCAAGCCCCAACAACTACCAACTTTGCCAGCCATGTAACAAGAAGCCCCTCCCTGGTTAACTAGATTTGAAAGTAGAGGTGAAACTTGAGTATGTACCTTTAAAAAATGTAGAGGTCTCAGCTCATTCTTGGAAGGAAGAACTGGAATAAATCCTTTGGGATCCCGAGTCCTGCTGAACAGATTTCCGTGGACCCCCACATAAATGGGTACAAGCTGTTAAGTGCTTCAAACAATCCATAGGATTGCCTTGATGTCCCAGGGTTAATAGGGTGTCCTGAAGGAAATGAGGCAGGTGGGAATAGTACTTGGGCTATTCTGAGGCCCATCTTCTGTTACTTGCTTGGGGAGCCAGGGGGGTAAACTCCTGAATCCAGCATTGCCCTCCTTCGGGCTGTTTCCTTGGCAACACTGTGGTTTAGCCGCCTCAGCCGCTCCTATAAGACAAATTTGTAATCTTAACTGCTCTGTGAAAGGCTTTAGAGCTCACTGTTACCGGGCATGTAAAATATCTTAGGCTTGCTCCATCTCAATGTAGGTCTCCTAAGGTATATAAGAATGTAAATAAGAGCCACTGGGCAGTGAGAAGAAACAGTTCTAGCCTGGCTGGTGTGGCTCAGTGGTTGAGCGTCGACCTATGAGCCAGGAGGTCATGGCTCGATTCCCAGTCAGGGCAAATACTCAGGTTGTGGGCTCCATCTCCACTGGGGTGCAATCGATGATTCTCATCGATGTTTCTATCCCTCGCCCTCTCTGAAATCAATAAAAATATTTAAAGAAATAAAAAAGCATAAACAGTTCTAGACACTAATTTAGTTGACGACTCCCTTTCCCCAAAGACTTGAAAAATGACTCGTTGAGTTGGAGACGGGAGACATCCCTTGAAAAGTGGAGATCCACACTGAGAACTTACAAAGCAGAGCAAAGAGTCACTGCTGGCAGGAAATTCTTTTACCTGGGCGTTCTGCAGAATGTTATTGACCAAGACAACTCGTCGCCGGGCGTTAAGGAGCTTCTTTACATAGGGGTCGAGATCCAGGGCCACTTTCTGATCCTCATTGATACGGCACAGCTCTGTGGGTGTAATGTAAGGTGCAACTAATACCTGCTGGCTCATGTCTTGTTTTTTGGCAAAGTAGGTCGGAAAACACTCTTGCACCACAAGGACCACAGTCACTAGAAACTTAATGGAATCTGAGGCAGCGTTGCCATGCTGCGAGGAAGTGACAGAAACTCAGCCCAGGGGACGGACTTTGGCAAAACATAAGGTTCGGAAAGCCAGCTGAAGGATTCCGAATACGCAGGGATGCTTACTCACCGGTAGCCAGGTTGTCGATTTGTTCCCGCAGCTCTACCTGGCTCTCTCTGCAAAGAAATGCAAGACCTGCAGGGTCAATCAACGGGACTCAAGACACCTGTTCCCCCGCGCATTTCCCAAGGGCTGCGAGCAGCCGGCCGCACGCCCACCCCCACCCCCACCCCCGGCCGTTCTGCCGCCTCCGCATATTCTCAGCCCCATCAGAACCCCGGCAGCAACCCCTCTGGACTCCGCCCTTTCTTGGCCCCGCCCCACACAAAACACTGAGCGCGAGGCCCCGCCCAAGCTCCCCTCTCGGGCACCTGACGGCGTGGACGTGAGAGTCGAGCTGCTGCACAGCCGGTCGCAGAAACTCGAGGAGCCCCTCGGCGAAGATGTCGCGGCCTGCGGGCCCCGCCACCGGCGTCCCTGCCCCGGACACAGTGGCGGAACCAGCCCCCGCCATCATGAACTACCCTTATCCCGGAACCTGCCGCGAGGGCCGCCGGGAACCGAAGCCCCGCCGAAGTGCGCCGCGCGGGGGCGCCCGAGTCATGCGGGCCCCCGCTCAGCCCCCGGGACTTCTGGGAAATGGAGTCCCTGGAGCCGGCAGGGCGGGGAGGAGGCCGGGGCGTTTGATGCTCCGGGAGTTGTAGTTCTTTATGGGCCTTGAAGGGGCGGGTTTTCAAAATCTCCAGACTTCAGTAGCTGGGGAAGGAATAATTTTGGGAGACGGATACTTTTTGTTTTCTCCAAAGGTGAAAAATAAATTCTTTTTTTTATTATTATTTTTTATTTTCCTTAATATCTTTTTTATTTTATTTTTATTGAAAAATTAATTCTTAAGTCCCTAGTTGGCCATAGTCTTCCTAGCCTAATTTATGAGAAAACCAGGTTACATTCATAGTATAGTTTTATATTTCTAAATTTACGAGTCCACTTAAAAAAAAAAATCCTCACCCAAGGATTCGTTCATTTTCGTTCATTGACTTTTAGAGGGGAAGAGGGGAGAGAGAGAAAGAAACATCAATGCGTCAGGAGCATACCAGAAGCAACAGTTAGCTGTATCTCTCTCACATCGATGTTTCTCTCTACCTCTCTGTCTTCGCCTTCCTTCCTCTCAAAAATAAATTTTTAAAAAGATGGTTAAAGTGCTTAATTTTGTGTAATGTGTATTTTGCCACAGTAAAAAGAATATTTTAGCCCAGGCTGGGTAGCTCGGTTGGTTGGAGCATCCTCCCAATACACCAAGGTTGCAGGATTGATTGATCCCCCATGAGGGCACATACAAGACTCAACCAACAAATGCATAAATAAGTGGAACAACAAAATCGATGTTTCTCTGTCTCTTCCCCCTCCTTTCCACTCTAAAAATAAATGGGAAAATATCCTCGGGTGAGGATTAACAACAACAACAAAACAAATGGATGTCTCTCTCTCAAATCAATTAAAACTATTTAAAAAAAAGAAGCTGGTTCTCTGAAGAAAATGACTTTTGGTTTATGTTTTCCTTTCCACTCCTTATCATCTTGACTTGCTCTTATCTTTCAGGGAGCCATTGCCACAGCCTCCTGATCTTGCCTCTAGTCTTTCTTCTCCAGGTCATTCTGCATCTAAAATACCATTCAGATGAAAGGGAATTTTAGAATCCTTCTTTCCTTGGTTCCTTAGATAGCTCTGTGAGGGAGACTGGGCAAGGGTCTTCCAGAAACCCTGAAGTTTGATAACAGGTTGAAGGCCAGTGCTGGTTCAATTATTCATTCTCTAAACATTTATCAAATTCCAGGCATCATGACACAAGGTATTCAGCACAAAATCCCCCTCCTCCCAGCTTGCACCCCTATCACATTGCAGTGGCTTTCCCGTTCTTGGCTTTTCCATAAAAGCTGAAGGAGATCCTAAGAACTCCCCTTCTTCTGTCTCCCATCTCCTCACCCCCTAGGTGGTGCTTAGGTTGACCTGCCCCCTCCTTGCTGGCGATTTGAAGGTGGGTAGTGGGGTAGGTCCATGAGGAAGCTGTGGGAACAGCTGTCTGGCTCAGGCAATATAGCCACACACAGTTCCCTCTGTCTGACAGGTTAGCTGCACCCCTACCCCCACGGTGGACCCTGAATGGGGCAGAGAGGGCAGCCAGGGTTATCAGAGGGTCCTTCTTGTGGTAGTGGGCACAGAATGGTATCTGGTGATGGCTTTAACAGACAAACCTAAGAACAAAATTCAACCTAGTAAATTTGAAGACATAATTAGCTTTATTAGGCCATTCATAAATCTCATGAATTGACCAGCATCCCACTTAGCAACTAGAAGGGTGCTCCCAGGAATTGTACAAATTGGAAGGTTTTATAGGCAAAAAGAGTTGGGACAAGAAATTTAAGAATGGATTATTTCAGGCAAGGTCACCTTCCCTCAGGCAGATTACCTCACTAGTGCTGACCAGGTAATTCCTGACTGGTTTGGGAGAAGCTGACATTGCAATTAGTTAAATTTTGATTTGTGGCTTAGCAAGGGTGACTCCATTTTGGACTGTTGTTTCTTTTTTAACACCTCTAACAAGCAATTATTGGACACCAACTCAATTCTGACACTATCTACCTAGACAGCCCACCAGGCAGGAGCATCAGATTCCACAGGTTGAGGGTACAGTCCTAGAAGACCCTCCCCACCCTATTTCAGATGCCAATGGGAAGTCCAGGTTGTTACCTGTGCTTCTGGTTTATTGGCTATAAATCAGGTTTCCATGACTCCTTTCTAGGGTCCCATTAATTTGCTAGAGCAGCTCATAGAACTCAAACATTTTATTTCCAAGATTACCAGTTTATTAGAAAGGGATATAACTCAGGAACGGCCAGATGGAAGAGATGGAAGAGAGCAAAGTATGGGGAAAGGGCACAGAGGTGCCTGCCCTCTCCAGGTGCTCCACTCTCCCCCATCTCCATGTGTTTGGGTTTTTATAGAGGCTTCATTACATAGGCATGACTGATTAAATAATTCATTGGCTATTGGTGCTTGAACTCAACTTCCAGCCCCTCTCCCCTCCCTGGAGGTTGGGGCGTGGGGACTGAAATTTCCAACTCTTTAATCATAAGGTTAGTTCTCCTGGCAACCTTTAGATGGGGTCCAAAAGCACATCATTAACATAACTCAACCTCCAGCCCCTCTCACCTCCCTAGAGGGATGGGGCAGGAAGTTCCAATCTTCTAATCACATGGTTGGCTCCACTGACAACCAGCCCCCATCCTATGGGTGTTTTTGTTTTTTTTTTAAATATATTTTTTATTGATTTTTTACAGAGAGGAAGGGAGAGAGATAGAGAGTTAGAAACATCGATCAGCTGCCTCCTGCACATCTCCCACTGGGGATGTGCCCACAACCCAGGTACATGCCCTTGACCGGAATCGAACCTGGGACCTCCCAGTCCGCAGGCCGATGCTCTATCCACTGAGCCAAACCGGTTTTGGCTGTTTTTTTTTTGTTTGTGTTTTTTTTTTGTTTTTTTTAACATAACAAGACACCATTATTGCTCTTATCACATGAAATTCTTAGGGTTTCAGAAGCTGTGCCAGGAACAGGGTTCAAGACCAAATATATATTTCTCATATGTCACATATTACACTGTAGATGTTTTTATTTATTTTTAAAATATATTTTTATTGATTTCAGAGAGGAAGGGAGAGGGAGAGGTAGAAACATCAATGATGAGAATCATTGATCGGCTGCCTCCTGCCCGCCCCCTACTGGGGATGGAGCCTACAACCCAGGCATGTGCCCTTGACCAGAATTGAACCCGGGACCCTTCAGTCTGCAGACCAACGCTCTATCCACTGAGCCAAACTGGCTAGGGCCATAGATGTTTTTAAATCTTAAGCCAAGAATCACCTTACACTAAAAGATAAAATAAATTAATCAAGTCTAAATGGAGAATCAAGTTGTCAAACTCAGAGTCTGGAGGCTTTGTGAGAAATAAAAGAAAGATTTATTAAAGGGTCTTAAAGTTTGAAAACTTGGAACACTGCTAGGCAAAAACCCCACAAGTGTTCCAAAGAAGAAAGAAAAGTTGAGTTTAGAGTAAAAGTTCATTTTTTGCGAACTATCAGTCCAGCATTCTTAGCCTTAGGATTGGTCCAGGATGGTTATCACTCAGATGTCGGGTGGTCTATATAATAGATGTCAGGTTGAATGGATATGTGAGTCCTTCAGGCAGGTAATCAGAAGGTTACCTGGAAGTCCAAATGTATTTACAGGCATTGACACAGGACTGGAAAGTTCAAAAAGTCTAAGTCCCCAGGCTAGTTAGAACAAGAGTAGAGTCCTCATGCCTCAGCCTTCATAGTGAGGATAATTTTAGCAGCTTGGTTAAAGTGATTCCATTTTTTATTTTCTATCTTCACTCTTTCCTCAAAGCAAATCCTTTAAAGAGGCCTCATGAGCCCTGGCCAGTGTTGCTCAGTTGGTTGGAGTGTTGTTCTGTACTCCAAAAGGTAGTCTTTTTTTTTTTTTTTATTAAATATCTTTTTATTGATTTCAGAGAGGAAGGGAGAGGAAGAGAGAGAGAAATATCAATGATGAGAGAGAATCATTGGCTGCCTCCTGCATGCCCCCTATGGGGGGGATCGAGCCTGCAATCCAGGCATGTGCCCTTGACTGGAGTCAAACCTGGGACCCTTCAGTCCACAGGCCAATGCTCTATCCACTGAGCCATTCCAGCCAGGGCAAGGTGGCCTGTTTAATTCCCAGTCGGGGCACATGCCTGAGTTGTGGGCTCAATCCCTGTAGTGGGCGTGCAAGAGGCAGCCAATCAATGTTTCCCCCTCACATCAATGTTTCTCTCTCAAAACTCAATGATTGGATCTTGGACCCTTCAGTTTCAAGCAAAGATGGGCCAGTGACCCCTACAAAAAATTAAAAATAAAAACATCAATAAAAATAAATAAAGAGGCCTCATGAAGCTTCAGCTGTCACAGGCCTATTGGCCTGCCAGCCCTACAAGGTAAGAGGGCCATGGTGGCTGCTGCCACCATCACAGTTCCCAGAGCCTTCCTGGGCCTGTTTCCACTAACACACACTTTCCTTGGCATACAACATGCTCTTTTAGGTCTGGATACCTTTGTATTTGTCGTTCCCTCTATTTGGAATATTCTCCCTTGTCTGTTAAACTTTCCTAGGACTTTCAAGATCCAGTTTATCACTCTCTTCTCTGTGCTCCCAGTGCCCTTCTAACAATAATGCCTTGTTTGTGTCTGCATGGCAAGTCCTCTGTGGATGGTGGCTGAATGAGTAAAAGGCTGACGTAGGAGCCAGGCTGACTCCTGGTCCCACTCTATCCGGGACACTCAATAGGGACAGAGGATGGCAGAAATGGGACACAAGCCTCAGGTGCTGGAACTGCAGTGAGCAGCAGGTGGGGCTAGAGAGCCCGTGACTGGAGGGAAATTCCTTGTACCCGCTGTTGGGAATGAAGGAGGAATAGAGGAGGCAGAAAGAGAAGGGAGCTTAGGCTCCACTGGGACCCTCAAAGCCCCCCCACTCCACCCCACCAGGATGCCTCAGGGTCCCCTGAACACCAGGCCATGTCGACATTTTCACAGTAGTAAAGATTTCAGATTTTAGAAACGAGACCTGACCTGGGCTTAGCTCCCTGCACTGCCCAGTGGAGCCAGTGCCAAGGGTGTAGAGGACATGGAACACATCTTTTTTTTAAAATCTTTAATTTCTTTATTGGTTAAGATATTACAAATGTGTCCTTATCCTCCCATTACCACCCCCCCCCCCCCACGCCCGAACACATCCTTTTGAACAGCCACCATAGGCACTAAGAACAATGCGTCAGTAGAATGTGGTGGGACTGGAAGCACCCTGGGCAGGGGGAGCCTGAGCTAGAAGAGGCTGACCTAAGAGAGAGCGACTAAGGACACCCAGTGCCTTGGGAGGTTCCTTTCTCAAAGGACCCAAGCTTCCCAGCCCCAACTTCTCTTCCTTAGCCCAGGGAGGTGAGGCATCCAGGGATTCTGTCCTGAGAGAACCCCCTCAAAGGATTCCGTTAGTGGATGAAGGGGGTGGTGATGGGAAGCACTTGCTGCCATCCTGCGCCCCTTTCCCCACTTCTGGACTCCTTCCATAGTTTTTATCCTGGAAATGTTGTCAAGTCTGGGGAGAGCTCCAAATGAGGGAAGATGGGCATGAGCATAGAGGCGTGTGAGCTGCATGGAGGTGAAGTGGGGCACTGTAAGACTGCTGCTGAGGGCTCCACGGTGGCCTTCACCTCTATCCCCGCTAGGTTCCCCTTCATGCCTTTCACTCTACATAGAGGAAGTATTTGGGTGTTATTATCAGAGGTGGCTCAAAAGTCACCAGATTGAAATAATATATATCCTGAGGGGAAGTTCTAGGTAAAAAGTCATTGTAGGGGAATGTAGTTGTTAGCTACTTTGGGGGAGGGCTGGGGAAAAAATCCTAGGTCACCCCAGGTTGTATGAAGAGGGTAAGGAACCCACTCATCCTGCAGTTCCCCCTTCCTCTCTTCCCAAAGGGTTCCTAGAGACCCTGGCATGTGCCTGAGGCAAGGCCACCAGGGGATGTGAAGTTTGCTGCCCACTGTTGATCAGCACCTCCCTCAGGGCCTTGGGGGCTCCAAAGATATCCCTACACCTACCCACACCCACATAAAAATACCTTTTATTCCTTCTAATTAAAGATTATGAACACCTGTCTGGGTTGAAGACCTCGTCTCCGTCCATTCTTAGAGGAATTACCGTACACTCAGAATCCAGGTCAGCTTGGCTGTCAGCATGGTTAAATCCTACCCCATGTGATCTTTTCAAGCTCTCCCTTCCACAGCTAACTCAACCACTTGCTGCACCGAGGGGTTAAGTAAAGTAGCTTAGGTCATACAGACAGGACTCCTGATCCAACTTCCTTCCCAGCATGCAATGAACACAACCTCCCAACAGTTTAGGGCACCAGGTAGCTCAATGGTAATTGGTTTGCCTGGAGGTGATTAGATTCTTTTCCCTTAAACAGTGCAGGGAAAAAGGGAAACCAGTGCTGGGTTCCAGGATACTGCTTGACCTTTGTATGGACCAAATGGGTCAGTACATTACTTTGTGTGGTTAATCTTTCTGCAAGGCTTACTCAGGGATGGACAGATTCTTCACTTTCTGTCCCAAAGCCACAATACCCCTTTCCTAAGATTTTCTTAAATTTATCTTTTTATTTTTAACCCTCACCCGAGGATATTTTTCAATTGATTTTTCAGAAAGAGAGTGGAAGAGGGAAAGACACAGAGAAATATTGATGTGAGAGAAACACACACATTGGTTGCCTCCCGCACACACCCCGACGCCTGGGTCAGGGAGAAGCCTGCAACTCAGGTACGCGTCCTCGACCGGAATTGAACCCAAGACCCGTTGGTCTGCAGTTCGACACTCCATCCACTGAGCTCCCAAGAATTTTAACACGACTATGAAGGACTCAGCTCTATAAGGGGTATATTAAGGTAGTGTTACAGTAGCCATAGCATTTCCAAGAGCACAACAAATAAAAAGTCCTAGCTGGATTTGAGAGAACAATTTCTTGTTATAATAAACCATAAATACAAGATTCTACTGAAACTGGAACAGTTGACAGAATATAGTTGAACTTACAAACCTTCAAGGGAAATAAGAGGGTCAAACAAAGCCAATGTATGGAAAAGCTCAAGACTGGTTTGGGATAAACCTAAGAATTACATTCAACATGGGTATCTTCTGACCCCTCCCCAGCAGGTATCTGCCATAGTTCTTCCATTCCTTCTGAAGCATCTGCTTAACCAATGGCCTTTCCCTCTCTACTGCAGGTGTAAGCCAACCCAATGGCACCCCTTTGGACATGATGCAAAGCCAAGAGGCAAGTTTATAAATCTTATTCCATGGTAGAAATAATGCACACACCCAAACCAGCTCACATATGTGGTATCAATGCACATGGTAGCAACTTCCATCAAATCAGAGCTGCTACCATGCATAACCTGTCATGTGACACTGTAGCTAGGCCAATGTTCCTAATTTACTATATTAAAATATCAACGTGGCAGAATGCATTTTTGAACTCCAGATTTTCTAACCACTTCTAAGTGGCTATTAAAGTGATAAAGAACAGAACTGCATTATAGACACCTAGGCATCAGGGAGGAACATTGAATGGATTCTTTCTGGGACTTTCAGAGAAGAGAGAGATGAACAGAGGAAATGTTAGACAGTCAAAGCATATATGGCAGGTGAGGGGAGGCAGAGGTGGAAAGAAGGCCAACATATTCATGTTCACAGAGAAGTCTGGGAGAAGGAAAAAACAAACCAACCAACCCAAACAACAAAACGAAACCAAACCCAAATCAGAGGAAAAAAGGGTTTCATACAATAGTTATCAAAAAAGTAAAAGGAACACACTAAATGCACACACTGGTGGCAAGTAAGTCCATAGTCTATTGTGATAGGTCCTTCCAGCATCAGTCAGGTAGGCTCTTCTCATCTGTCATCTCAAGGTTATTTACAGATGTGGTAACTTTTTAACAAGTCTCTCAGAGGAGGGAAGGCAGGCTTCAATCATTGGTTTCAGGATCTGTCTGTGCCATGTAGGCATCCAACTCTGCATCCAGGTGTCCTTTTGTTTTCGACATGTATGCATCCAATTGGTTGTCCAGCTGTTCCTTGGTCAGTACAGGGCGAGTAAGGGCACCTCTCCCTCGTCCTCGGCCTCCAAAGCCCCCTCTTCCCCGACCTATCATACCCCGACCTGGCCCAAGGGAAAAAAAAGACAGTTACAAGTAGGTTTAATGGGTGCTCTAGTAAATGCCCCTTAGAGCAGTGGGGCCTAGCTGAGAGGCTGAAGGGCAGGGCAAAGAGGAGAAATCTGGAAAAATAGGAAACACACTGGGTAGCAAGCAACACATGGAAAGCACACATAATGAATCCCTTATTATATGCTCATCTCTAAATGCTATTTAATTTAAAAAAATTTTAACCTTTCCTAAAACAAATTACCTCAACTTTGGGACCTACTATAAGTTCATAATTAAAATACATTTACAGACAAACTCATTTATTAAGATAGGGAGAAAGTAATAAGGGCACAGAGCAACAGAGGTATGAAGCCAGTTTTCAAATTAAGCTTTATTGGAGATCCTTCTGGAAAATTAGCTCATCTCTCCTCAAACTTATCAAACCTAAAGACCTAAAGAGCTGACCCTATGTCAGGAGACTGAGGAGTTATTTTTACATAGGAACAATGTGGGGAGATGGGAAAAAACCTCCCGAGTAGTCTCAGCCACTTTATCTGCTATTCTAGATACTTATAACAATTATGGTTATCTGAGAGGTGGTTTCAATTCACTTAACAAAACATACCCAGCTAAGACTTTGACTCCCTCACCCTTGTGTCGTTGCTCAGAAACCAAGTCAAGATAATTTGGAAACGTGCTATTTCATCCTGAAACCCAAACTAGCTTGCACTTCACTCAATAAGCCAAGCAACATATAATAGGCGAGAAGAAAACAAGCCCTCAGTTATCAAATTTCCTTTCCTAACAGTTATTATCCCTTGGCAACTTTAAGGTCATAAATTATGGACCCACCACACACTTTAAAAGGACCAAAGCCAATATATACAGAGTTAAGCTAAGAGAGTAAAAATTTTCTTTTTCTTCGACAGATGTTGGGAGTTTTCCACTGAACTTTAAGCCAGAAAATTCCCATGAGATCTGGCATTTTAACAGCAACACCATTAAAACCCTTCCAATCTGGGTCAAGAGGTCACAAGACAAGTATCACTAAGTCTCAAAGGTAAGATTGTTATCAAACATGAGTCAGTCAGTTAACTGACACAATACCATCCTTGCTTTCTACCTCCTGGGAGCAAGCCGGAACCTTTACCCCCTCCCTTTCCTCCACAGGCGGGCATATCCTCAACTCCCCATGAGAGACTTGCCACCAGGGGAGCATGTGGTCCTGGGCTAACCCCCTGAGCCTGTCTCCAAGGTCCCTTTTGTTGCTTCTTCTATCCTAGGCCCTTCCTTGTTTCACGGTCCCCAGCTTTAATAAACGTACTCAAAAAGTCATCTCTGGTTTCCCATAGACACAAACTTTACCTTGAATTTACTTGGTTTTAGAGTCATTACCCAGTTCCAGATCTCATCCTTATTTTAACTCTGCTTCATTTTTGTACACCTTCCTCTTTTAGATTTTTAGACTCCAAAGAGGGGTCTTGAGTTATGGGGTGCGTTGTGTGTGGTGGTGGGGCAGGGACAGAGAAAGGTAAAACCCCAAACTGACCACTTTGTCATCTTAACAATACAATTTAAATTCACAAGAGTCTGGAAGACTGCACATATAATCTGGCTCTATAACATGTACCTACTAGTTCTTAGAAAACCCAGGACAGACTTTTGCACTACCACCATGTGAATTTAGAAAAATAAGCCAGTTTCAAAAAACAAAACAAGACAAACAAATAAGCCTGCCTATGACTTGAAGCTGTGCAGAAAGGTGGCTCTGAGCTTTAAAGGGAGAGAAATAAGAGGGAGCTATTCTCTGAAGTTGGTAGCTGACTAACCTCTACCACCGATTCCGCCACGACCCATAGCTCCACGCCCTAGGCCCCCTCTCCCAGGACCTCCACGACCTCGAACACCACCTCTTCTTAAGCCCATTCGGGGAGCTACGGCTCGTCCACCTCGGAGCAGGTTTTGACCTTAGAGAGGAGGCATACAATGTATATGCAGGTAAATCCAAGAGAGACAAAGTAGATTCTAACCAAAGGAAGGCGGTAAGAGTTAAATAAGTTAATTCAGGTAATTTTTAGGTTGGGTGGGGAAAGCTGCATATGGAGTGTGAACAGATTAAGATGCTCTTTATTCAATCAATTAAACAAGTCTGACCAAAAATCCTTTTTTTGGAAGAAGCTGGGAGGAGTTAAGGTAATTAGGAAGTATGTACATTTAATAAGTATCTACTGAATAATCAGATAGGTACCTAACATTACGATAAATTTACACATAAATGATATGGTTCCTGTTCTCAATACACTCTTGTAGGGACAAGAACTATACAGGGAACAGTGCCCCAAATGTATATATAGCTAAGTGCTATGGGTCAACTTGTCTTCTTTTTTATAGATATAACAGTATTTCACTAGCACCAGGAAAAGAGATGACTGGTTAAGATATAGGCCAACAGACCCATACAGTTCTTAAGACTTGACTTATTTCTAGAACTTCAATGTGCTTTGATTCAAGCAGCAGCAGGGTGTTTTAAAATGGAATGGAGATGACATGAATTACCTGTTCTTACGCAGGTCATAGCCTCTCACCATTGCACATTATCAGAAAAGGTATGGCATTGATAAAAGGACATGCAGCACTATTAAAAATATGTGATATCAAGTTATTAATTATATTAATACAAATTCAGGCTTAAAGATGTTAAACAAATGTGTCCATAAGCAGCCCAAGAGAAAAGGAAAGGGGGTGGGGCTCGACAATTATCAGGAACACAGCACTGACCTCGGAGCGACATCCCGCCCCTAAGCAGGGTTCTTGTGGCACGTCCCCCACGTAGTCCTCCTCTAGGCAAGCCTCTCTGGATTAGGGGTAGGCCTCGTCCTCCGATCGCTCCCCTGGCCAGGGTCCCTATGGGTCGGCCTAACCGTGCCTGGATGTTACTCTTACCCAGGCGCTGCTTTAAGCTCTTCTGGAAGAAAAGGTGTTGAGGGATTGAGATCAAAAAAGCAATCCAGTGGGATTTTGTGACTCAAAGTGCAGAGAAAAAGAAGCAAGTGAGATGACTATGTGGAGGCAGATAAACCTGCTGTGGGTGTCATAAGAATGTTAAACTAGAAGCAAGCCTCAGAACATGACATAAAGGCAAAATTCTGATCCAGAGCTTCTAAGAAGCTTGAGAATGGTCCTATGAAATTGGCACAACAACAAATTAGCTTGCTAGTTTGCTTATAAAAGTCTTACACCACTACTTGAAACTTAAGTTTTAGTAAGAACACTCTATATTCCAAATCCTGATTCTGTTGTTTTTAAATCACAGATTGACAATGATATGACTTGATTCTTGATTAATACTTGCCCAAGGACTACCACTGTCTTCAAAGGTTTACTCAAACACCACAGGAAGTTCATCACACTCTGGGCAAAATTTAAATTAAAAGTTCATCTGAATTCTTGTGACTTAAGAACAACATTTGATTTCTCAGAGGCCAATGTGTTCCATTTTTCCTGAGTACATATCCCCAGACGGTCCACTTTTTACCTTAAGATGTAAATAAACACAAAAAGTCAAACCTCCTTTTCTTAATTTCTTAAATAGCCTTAATTCCATGTCTACCTTGCAAATAGCTCCATTAAACCAGTATAATGACCTTTAATTCAAAATGAACATATAACTCAAATGTATCTCCAGAGAGAGACATGCCAAATTTGCATCAGAATAAAGACAGGTGAGCTATAATCACAAAACTCAGGCCCACACTCCAGGACAAAGACATATCAGAGACAAAGATTTTCAATCATTTGTCCCTAGAAGAAAAATTATAAAGACCACATACCAAAGAATTAAATTTCTTCCAAGAAAAAGGTAACTGTGTAGCTTTGAACACAACCAAGACCTTAGCAAACTTGTTTTTCTATAAAGCCATCAGTCAATATAAATTAAAATAAATTCTATGTATCCTTAGGCTTCACCCATCAACGACTACCAATAACTTTTTGCAACCATATATTCTGAGTTATTATTATTAGCTTTCTAGCACAAGATCATAAACTGCTTCTAATCAGAGGGCCAGGCTTTGAACATTATGCACCTAGCGTGAGCAGGTATAACCAATCATCAAAGCCCATGACATCACTCTCCTGACTGCACACTATTATAAGGTCAGGACTTCATTCTACATGTCATTTTGTTCAGGCATCCTGAGAATACTCTCCCAAGACCTGTGTTTTAAAGGGAGAATGTACAGCACTTAGTTCTTCTCCCTTCCCAAGCCTTACCTGCCACCAATATTGGTCTCTAACATTGACAGGAAGCTTAAGGATGTCCACTATATCACCCACTTTCTACTCTAGAACTGTGCTGTATGCTAAGGTAGCCACTACCCACATTTGGCTAATTCAAGTAAATAAAATTAAAAACACAAAGAAACACCTGCCCACCCCCTGCCCCCAACCAACTAAGCTCCTCAATGGCACTAAGCACATTTGAAATGTTCAAAAGTCCCTTGGACCTAGTGACTACCGTACTGGAGAGCACACAGGACATTTTTACTACTGTAAGAGTTCTATTGGACAGTGCCACTCTAGAGGCTATTTCTGCATAGCCTATATTTAAAGCTTCTTGTTCAAAGACCCTTTGGAATGATCTGTCAGAGACTTGTCTTCAACCATTTTTTATATTTACTCCTAGAAAACGGTGGTGCCTTTTACTGCTTTCCTGAGTCAGGGATGAGCGCAGTCACTCCAAGGCTTAAGGTAGCTGAAGCAGAAGGCCTTGTTTATTTTTGGTCAGTGAGCCCACTGGTTCTGGGTGGGGGTGGGGGTTATATTTAACTGCTGAATTTATGCACAGCCATGCAGTGCTACCAGTTAGTCCTTACAGTTGCATGGCACCGCCCTTCAGACGCCCAGCCACAGCTTGGACATATCCTTCCACAGCCACTGTCCGGACTTGCATATAAAGTCTATGAATAATAAAGAGCAGGTTTTTATTTCAGGTCTGAATAGGATTATCTCTTACTGGAAATTTGAAAGCAAACCCATTAACTTTTAAATTACTCAGTGCTCTCGCTGGACTTTACTGACAAAAATTTAGGTGCTGCGGGAATGAGGGTCATTCTATTATTTCTATTATGTTAGCACTGAAACCACTGACTGAGGCCATTCAGACCCCTGCACTAGGGGAGAAAGAATAAAAGCACTTCCCTGATTTGTAAATCATTTAACAGGGAATAAAGGATTTTTTGAAGGTCATCTAAAACCAAAATTTCTTTGTAGAAAAAGCCAGTGAATTTACTTTAAGGGCAAAGGATCAGAAAACAAGAGATTAGCACTCATTGATAACAGAGAAACAGGCCACATTGATGGCAAACACCCTAAAAAAGAGAAAGACAACAAAGAGTTACTTATTGGCACCTGCCAAAATGGGAATTCTCTGAACTTCTCTTTCTTGCAGAGAAGTTTCAGCTTTTGCCCTGAGCCACCTTGTATCACTCCTGACAGTCTTTGTGGACTGCCTGACAGAAATCACCAGCTGCTTCTGGAATGTTAAGACTCATTCTCTCACCTGCTTAAGCTTTAATGCTGCCTGGACAGAGGGTCTATTTTCCATCTGCTGGGCCAGTCTTCTGTTTCTGGCACTGGCTAGCTGCTGCTGTTGCTGCATCGAAGCCCGAATATTCACTGGCATCGGCTGTTTGTTCTTCAGCATATTAGTAAAGCTTCAAGGTCGAACAAAATGGATGTTTAAATAAAAGCTTTATTATAAAACATTTATTGGCATTTTCATGGCTTGCTAGACCAGGAACTCCAGATCCCACGAACTTTTAAGTAAAGCGGTACACTTAGATCAAAGCTGATGTGGGTTAAAGACTCCTCGGCTTCCATAAACTTGCAAGAATCAGAAACTTAGAAATGCAGCTAAGTGCAGCACATTCAATCAAAAGTGATAACAAGGGCTCAAGTAACGGCTTTTAGAGAGGTGAAAGGTATGAAAAACACGCAGTAAGCAGATATGATGACAACACGAGACAAAAGATGTAGCTTCAAAGACAAAGAAAGTCAAAACCCTGGGAGAACTGAGGGTGCATTTTAAGGGCAAATATAAGGAAGGACTAGAGCACCTTCAAAGCCCATGGAAATAACGTGCCCATGTAAGTTATAGGAGTGCATCACATTTTCTTATGTATTTGTCCACTTAGTTACGTGAATACAAGGAATTAGTGTATCCAAGAGAAAAGAAGCACATATGCTTCAGAAAAGGCAAAAATATACGTGGTCTAAAAATCAACTTACTAAAATCACTGGCCAAAGGCTCTCAATGAACAGAGCCCTCATAGACAGAAACCGCCTTTTAATATCTTCGATTTTCTTAGTCTGAAATGATTCATTTTTTTTACTTCAACTATTTCTGGAAAAGTTAGATTAGTTCAACTGCTTTAAGAGTTTGTGAAGACACTATATTATTTCTGTAAAATAAGCTTAATGGAATGGAAGAGAAGAACACTTAACTGTAAAAGAATCCAAAACAAAAACAAACGAAAAGCAGAATGGAAAGAAAGTGAAATGGAGCAAAAGCAAGTGCCTCTTACAAGGCCCAAGAATGGCATTCAAGGGCCTTCGGACATATTCAAAGCTCGCTACCCGCCTCTTACAGGCCAGACACAACACTGCCGGCCTTGGACTGGGCAGCAAGCCTACTGCAGCCAGGGTACCGTGCTACCAAGCTGCACCATCCCCGTGTCAATGTTAAAAAAATGTGAAGAAAAGGGAGGGTGTGAGGAGTCTTTTTAAAATACATCCCACCAAATCAATATTTCAGACAGCTTAACATAAAAATCTACTGGTAAGGGGTTTTGAAACAACTGCCCAATTTGCTCTGTGTACCACATAAATAAGATGCAACTAAGAACAGAGGTCTGTAGCCTTCTGTTGGTATTTAGTTTAAAACCGGCTTTTGTGCATTGGACCCCAGGGCCAATTTAAGGAATGTTTTCTTAGGAACGAGCTGAAGTTGCTGTTCGCTGCCTCACCGCTCATTTAGAGACATCTTGGTGGTGCTTTTTAGCACAACTTTCGGTGCTGACTGTGCAGCCATCTTCAAATCCCGAGGATCTACAAAGGACAATAGGCAGAATGAGCACATCAGAAACAACAAGGGCCTCATTTCTACCGGGGCCCAAGGCCCAAGGCAGCAGTGAGTGAGTGAGTGAATGAATGAATGAAAAGGCCTGCATCAAAGACTCCTGAAGACCACACTGAAACTCAGTCCAGGTGCCTAAGCTTATAAGACAGTCATGTCAAACTAGCACACTTCAAGGCCAAGGGCCAGAAAATATCTGCCAAAGCCTCCCAAACGGCAGACCCAGACCTAGCTCAAGGGAGTGTTTAAGAGCCTGGCTTCCCATCTAGCGCAGTCCTCAACCACCCTGGCTGCAAGGAGCTTTAAAAAAAAATATGCAGGAACCTGGACCAAAAACCAATTAAACCTCGATATCGGGTGGTGAGGTCTGGGGATCAGCAACTGGAGAGGGGAAGAAAGGCCACCCAGCGCTTCCCACGTGCAGCCCCGACCGAGAACCACCGATGCGGAGAGGACACAGGCAGACCGAGTTTCAAACTGGCATCGACTCCAGAACGAGAAGGGGCCTGGGCAAGGGGCTGGGGACCTGGGGGTGGGGCGGGGGGAGGGGGCCGGCCAGGCTTCCCGATCGGCCATTCACCTGGGCGTGAGCGCCCGGAGAGCGCTCGATGACATTTAACCTTAAAGCTGCCATGACTTTCCAGCGTCCCCCCAAACCCCGCAGTCCTCATTTCACCTCCCTACCATCTCGAAGTCCTGGCAAGACCGCCAACTTTGCTCCACCCGCCAAACAATTCTCCTTTTTATCCACATCAAACCGCAACCTCTCGCCGCAGTCCCGCCGCCAGTTTCCAATCCGGGCCCCGCCCCGCCGCGCGCCCCGAGGCCCCGCCCCTCCCCGGGCTCCCACGCGCCAGCACCCTCTCGGCTTCCACATCCCAACCCCGTCCGGTTGGCCGGCCCTTCCGCTCCCCGAGCCTATCCCTTCTCACCACAGAAACTTACCGAAGGAAAAGGACGCCAGTGCTCCTCCCGGGGCTGCCACGACGGCTGCGGAAGGCGGGCCGGGGGCCGGCCGAACCTGAGTTGATGGTGAAGGGGCTCGGGTGAACGGGTTTGGTTGGCTAGACGCGTAAGTGGTAGGCTGCTAGGTCAGTTCGCTGTTGGCTGGCTGTCTGCTGGGCTCAGCCGGTCCACCTGCCCACACGGCCTGCCCTTTCCTGCCTTTCGTCGGTGCCACCGCAACCGCTGCCACCAACTCCCGCTCGGTGCCCAAACAAAATGGCCGCCACGCCCAGTGCGGAGTGGGACCGGCTAAAATGGCGTCGACGCAATTACGTCATACGTCAGATCTGCGCACAACTAGGGGGCGGGGAGGTTTGTGCTACGCCTGCGCGGGAATCGGGGCGGAGCCGTAGAGAGAAGGCGGGGCTTTAGCGAAGCCCCCTTCTGAGAGCTCGCGGTGCTTCGCCCACAGAGGGGCGTGGCCAAGGCCTCGCATTTGGAGGTTCTTATTCCTGGCGGGGTTGTTAGTACGAGATCTGGGCCCCTCGGAGCGGATTTGTTCCCCGTGGAAATCGTGTTCGTATTTCCTCGCGCGTCTGCTCGCTTCCCCAAACTAAGGCAGAGCGTCTAAGATGCTTTACGCGGGCCCGGCCGGTGTGGCTCAGTGGTTGAGCGCCCGCCCCTGAACCAGGAGGTCACCGGGTTCGATTCCCGGTCAGGACGCGTGCCCCGGTTGATGATGTTTCTCTCCCATCATTGATGTTTCTATCTCTCTATCCCTCTCTCTTCATTTCTGAAATCAATAAAAATATTTTTAAAAAATAAGTAAACTTCTTAATTTGCACTGGTTCTTCCCTCCTTATCATTTGCTCTCTCCAGAGAGTTGTGGAGTGCCATGAACGCCCAGCCACCTCTACTGGATCCTGCTCCAGTCACCACCCCCCGCCCCCCACTCCATATTTTCCTCTTCACTTTCTCCCCTCCCCAACTTGGCCTGAATATTGTTAAATTGTTAAATCCTTATTTGGGTGGGATCTTTGAGTCCCTGTTCTCCCTTCCAGGTCTTCCCTCATCTGCCATCTATGTGGATTTTGATACAGACATATACGGGGTTTTCTAATGCCTGGATACACAAAATGCTCAAATGTTTGATGAATGAATGAATGAATGAATGAATGAACACATCTTCAACCCCCCACCCTCTTCAACCCCCATGTGCGCCCATCAGGATCCTAGCATTTCTGTATATGTGGTTAAAGGTCTGGCGTCCTTACTGGACTTTATCTGTGTGAGGGTTAGGAGCGTGTTTGTTTTATTCACTGCTGTATCCCCGGTTCCTACACGATGTCTAGCATATGGGAGATCCTCTAAATGTTCTTTTAAGGGAAATTCTCCTTCTGGCTTTTATAGCTGAGAAGCTAACATCTCCTTCACTTCCAGCTGGAACCTTGAACCCCTCCCTTCCTGGGCCTTGAGACTGCCTCAAGTAGGAAGAGGCAATGGTTCTGTGACCTCTCTCTACATAAGATTCCACCCCAAACAAGGCAAGTTGGAAGTGAGCCACCTTTACTTCCCCCACCCGCGTCCAGAGCCCAAAGGAGACCGACAGCAGCTGTTGAGAGAGAAGCCTTTAATGAAAGACGAGTTGCAGGTCTGGCCCACTACTCTTGCGCCCTTGTTGGAGGGTGGGCAAAGGTGGGACTATGGGGAGGGGAAGGTGGGGAGGAAGGAAAGCAGGGTGTAGGGGCAGGTATGGCAGGGCAGAGGGGAAGGGCGCGGCCCACTGGGGCTGTCTGCTCAACTGTTCTCCCAGAAGAAGTTGTTACAGGCCACCGTGAGGGCAGCCACCAGCACCACGTACTCCTGGAAGTCCACCTCCCCATCTCCATTCTCATCCAGCTCCTTCATCACCTTGTCCACAGCATCCGCATCCTTCTGGGCCTGTGAATCGAGGAGATAGAGAGAGCACTGTATGGTGATGTCTATAGCGCTGAGTCAGAGGCAAGGGGGTGGTTGATTGGGGAGAAGGAGACAGAGATGAGCACGAGGGGGAGCTACATCTAAATATGGGACTCTTCTGCTGCCCTCAAAACCGACACCTGGAGTCTCCTGTTGCCCACAGAATAAGCTCCTCAGCAAGGCAGAGTAATAATAACATCAGCTACATGTCGAGTGCCTGCGATGGGGTAAGCACTACACCCGGAGGTTAGGAGCCTTGTCTAACGTAATTCTAACACCAGTAGTATGAAGTAGGTTTCATTATTCCTATTCTAGAGAAGAAACAAATGGACAGTTGGTGGTTAAACAATGTGTCCAAAGTCACACCGCTAGAAAGTGGCAGTGTCAGAATTGGAACCCAGGTCTAATAAAATCTCAAAGCTGTTTCACTTTTTACTTCTCCTTTAGCCTTTTTTAAAAAAATATATTTTATTGATTTTTTACAGAGAGGAAGGGAGAGGGATAGAGAGTTAGAAACATCGATGAGAGAGAAACATCAATCAGCTGCCTCCTGCACATTCCCTACTGGGGATGTGCCCGCAACCAAGGTACATGCCCTTGATCGGAATCGAACCTGGGACCCTTGAGTCCACAGGCCAACGCTCTATCCACTGAGCCAAACCGGTCAGGGCATAGCCTTTTTTTTTTTAATTGATGAGAGAGAGAGGGAGAGAGAGAAACATCGATTTGTTGTTTCACTTACTTAGGCATTTATTGGTTGCTTCCCCTATGTGCCCCGACCAAATATCAAACCTGCAACCTTGGCATTTGGTGATGACGCTACCTGGTCAGAGCTAGCCTGTTTTTCTGCATCCTTCACTCTAGTCAAAACTGCTGCGCATGCTGCGTATTCTTCCCGCCAGGCTTTTGTTCATGCAGGTACCTCCTCCTAAGATGTCTGCATTCACCCCGATAGTCTTCCACTGGAAATCTATGGCTCCAGTGCCACTTCTTTGGAGAAGCTGTCCCACTTCAACCAGGTTAATATCCTCCCATAATATTTTCTGCCACTTCTGTTAAGTGTCTGTGTGCTTCCTGGTGTTCAAGGTTTACTTTCAGGTGTCAGTCTTTCCCTGCTAGACTGTGAGCCTTGTTTTGATGTACTGACACAGGGCCGGGCACCGGTGATGAATAAATCAGGGCATTTTGACTTGAACCAGGAGAGGAAGGAGATGGGTGAGCTGGGCTGGGCTGGGCTGGGGAGATGGCAGGGAGATGCCCACTCCGTCCCCCCACCCCTCCCCCATTCCGCCCTGTGCTTACGTCCAGGAAGCCAGAGAGTTCGGTCTGCAGCAGCTCTTTCAGCTCCTTCTTGTTCAGCTTGTACTTGTCCCCCTCCTTGCCCGAGTGGGCATGGAACACATTGATGAGAGTCTCCATCGCCGTCTCCAGCTCAGAACCCATTGCGCAGCTCACCTACCCACCCCCCACCATGGAAGTGAGCTGGGAACCATGCTCAGGCCCTCACCGGACCCTGGTTCCACAGCCCCAATAGCCTTGAGCTCGGAGGCCCATCACAATGTGCCTTTCCCTGGGCTTTTATGATGTGGGGGAACCCAAACAGATCTAAGTCCAGACCGTTCTCTGTGTCCCTCAAACCAGACGCCAGCCAGGGGGAGTCGGGGTTTGGGGCATGGAGGTGGGATGGCGGGAGCGGCTCTGGAGGCCTGCAGTGGACTTCGCAATGTCTCCGGCTGCCTGGGCAGACACGGAGGAGGGTGTGGCGGGCAGGCAGGCAGGCAGGGGTGGTCACAGGACCCAGCCAGGCTTCCTCTGGCTCTATTTTTACCCTGGACATTGCCTGCCTAGCACGGCCAAGCTCTGCTGTTGGGGGGTGGTGGGCTGGGCTCCTCGCTACAGATTCGACTCTGCTGCCCACCCCTGGCAAAGAGTCCGTCTGATGCCCCTGGACACCTGGTCGAGAAGGTGCCAGCCGAGTGGATGGCCCAGGGTTCATGGGGAGAGGGTCTTCTTGCCTCTGAGCTTCCTGTCAGCAGACTGGGGGCCTCTTTTGGTCTTTCCACTCTGTTCTGACCTGCACGTGGCACTTTGGCTGCCTGGGGTGAGCCTCTATCACCTCTAGTTCGGTTCCTCTTACTCCTCCCCTTCCATCGGGTGGTGGGAAGGGAGAGAGGAATGTCTGAGCCTTTGCCCTGGAGCCAGAGCTTCCAGGGAAGAGGAGAGGAGACCTGTGCAAGGTTTGTCCCTGCTGCCGGCCACTCCCACCCCAAGGCCCAGCCTGGTAGATGTGGGGACAGTGGCAGCAGGGAGAAGGGGACTGGCACGTATTGGGGGAGATAAAACGCTGAGCGAGTAAGGTCCTCTGAGTTTAAGGGGCTGGGAGAGAGGAGGAGAAAAACGAAGGGGTCCGGCGAGGAGAGGAGATTGCCAAGCCAGGGGTCTCTTTCCCTGGGTCTTGGGACAAGCAGCCCCTTCACAGCCTCAGGGGGCAGCTCAGGTGTCTCAGATCAGGTGTCCCCATCCTGCCCCAGGCCTGAGGGGCTGGACAATAGGCCCTGATCAAATGACATCCCCGCTCTTCAATGGGGCCCTTGTGAGTGTCACCTGAACTCCGGACATGAGAAGCGGTTGTCACAGAGACCTGGGGGAGATGGAACCCAAGCCTGGCTGATGGAGGGGATAAGGGGCGTGTGAGGGAGGAGTGCTGGAGGCTCAGTTACAGGCCCAGCCAGGAGGGGCACCTGGAGCTCTGGAGCCCGCAGAGCAGCCGGGCATTTTATGTAGGGGCCATTCAGAGAGGACCTTGACAGGGAGAGGGCACCTGGGAAAACAAAGAGAAAAGAATTGGGGGAAAGAGGAGTCTGGAGGTCTAGGCTGAGAAAGAGGAGGAGACGGGAGGTGACACGCAGGGAGAATTGGGAGTGGGTGTAGTTCCCTCGCGCCCCCTCTTCCTGATCTCTCACGGTCTATGCCCTGCCACCCCCAGGCTTCCCTGGGTCTTGGCTGGCTGGGCGGGGGTGGCAGAGCAGCTGTTCCATCTGCTCTCGTTCTAACCTCCCTGGAAGTGAGCCCAGGGTGGGTCGCCTCCCCAGCAGCTGGGAGATGGAGGGAGCCTTGGGAGGGCACTTGAGGGCTCCCTGGTTGGAGGGCCTGCTCTCCTGGAAACTCAGTGGCTGGGCTCCCCACTGGCTGCCTCACCCGCTCACCTAGTTCCCAGATATCCCTCTGCCCCTCATTTGCCTCCTCTCACGACCCTCCAAACCCTGACTCCCCCAATTCCCAAACTGCTATCGTCTGAACTCCCCCCAGACCCTCCGTGCACCACAATGCCACTGTCCCCAAACTCCTGGAGCCCGACCGAGGTCCCTCCCCCCAAGCTGGCCAGGGTTGGAGCGGGCAGCGTACTCACTGTCGGCCTGGGCCTGAGGTGGGAGCAGGTTCCGGACAGACAGACGAGGCTGCAACTGTGGCTCCTGGAGCTGTGTGGGGAGACCTGTCTTCAGTCCTCCTTCCCCCACTGACCCCCCTCCACCGGCTCCACCCCTTCACAGATAGACACCCAGTGGGGCAGGGGGCCAGGAGTGGACAGAGGCGCCCTCTGTCTCCTGGGCTGGAACAAGCTGCCCTGTGTCTTCTTTTCCAGGCTTGGTCGCCTCTCCCCCACTGCTGGGCCCCAAGGCAGAGCCTAGGGAAGGGGAGTGGGAAAGGTCCTGGGA